AAACAAAAACACAGTACCTGCAGCTGCACTTAAGTATGTCCACCACTGGAGAGTTTCATTTTGAGGAGTAAGTTTCAGAAATGACAGTGCAAAACTACTTTTACTTTTCAAAGTCATGCTGGGCCTTCAAAGACATTTTGGGGAACTAAGATCTGGAGCTGACATGGGCAGGGTCAGCATTGGGAATGCAGAATTCAGTCTCACATCAGGAACCATTAGGAGATGCCTGAGTGTGAGGGCACAGGAAAGAAGATGCGTACAGCAGCTGAGGAAGATGGGGTTTCTGCACGGGACACAGGGCAGGCCCAGGTGGAAGAGGGGACACGCGGGTGGTCATGGCGACTACTGTTCAGCATCAGCCTATGCCCGGCACTGAGCCAGACCTTTCACTCAGTGCAATAGCTCTCAGGGTTTAAATTAGCCCCAACTTAACAGCTGAGAAAAGTGAGACTTAAGGAATGATGACACTTGTCCAAGATCACAGAGAAAGACCTGAGTCCCTCCCACAAAAGTCTCTGAGGCCATAACCCATACTTTGAGCTCATTTCTGCCATGACATTAGAAACAGTGACTTCCCTCCTCTCCAATCAGCTTCCACGATAGTGAGAACATTCCTGCTATAAAGCTTTCTAAGAAAGTGGCCGAGGGAGGTGTCTTTTTTCCTTTTGATACCTCTCTCACCCAGGTGAGTAGGTGACATGCACTGAAAGGCAGCCTTTCCCCAGCCCTGGCGACTACAATACAATTTAACACTTACTCATATTGAGAGGGCACTTCTGTAATTATATATAAGTCACATTCTAATAGAAACTTGTTTGTGGGAATTGGGACCACCCCTTGCTGGTTTAGCTTACTTAGATAAAACACTCCAAAATTATTCAGCTCAGACTGAAAGGAATATCCAGGGGCGGGACTGACCAGAGTGAAACAGATTCATCACCTCCTTTATTCTTGAGTTAACACCTTTATAAATATGACTCAAGTCATACTAGTATTTGCTTTTCTACGAAACTGCCACTGAACACACATACTATCTCACAGTTGCTGACTCTTAATTAACCTGTGTCTTTTATAATCACTCAACCCTTGGGCTTCTTGGGCTCAGGTGCCTGATCAGGAAAATCCACATTGAAAGACCAAGGTAACACTCACGCCAAGGTTTTGTGGTAATCAATGGTGTTTGTCACTCCAAGGAACTTTTGCACTGTGTCCATCACTTTGGCAGGTTCTGTTCGCAGCAGCTTGCCATCCAAGACTAGAATCTGACAAGAAAGAGGAAGGAGAAGAGGGATGACTCCAGTGGCAAATCAGCCCCGATCTTCTGGGCCAGCAGCCCAGAGGCAGGTGGAACTGATAACAGAAGGGGGAGCCTGCAATTCTGCAGCATCTGCTTTCTCTTTCTCCTCTGGACGGCAGGAACCCCCAAGGTTCGGATTATTGCCCTGCCCCCTAGCAGTTGCCTCTGACCAGTGCAGCCTTAACTGGAGTTGAGACCACCAAAACCCTTCCTATTCCACCTACCCCCAGGATATCCCTCTCTGGCTGGCTGTCAAACTTCTGGCCCAAACATCATTCTCCTTAAATTCCCCCCAAGAAGTTCCCTAAAATGCCCCATGTGATGCTTAGTGAAGTAAGCCAAAAAGAAAAAGAAAAATACCAGATGGTTTCACTCATAGCAGGAGCATAAAGGACCGGGGGGGGGGGGGGG